GATTAGGTGATAAGTTTAAAAGGATAGTGACGAACATACTCTCCAATATCGTGGGATGCTACACTGAGTACAAGTGGATCTTTGGTGTTCTCCAATAGATGAGTTAGGATTCTGAAGAAAATATGATAAGGCAACTTTTAACATCCATTCAGTAACAGGAAATATCACATGTAAAAATTACACCTGCTATAATGTTCCATTTCACTAGCTTCTTGCCAGCATATTACTTTTCACACAATGGAAACGTACAGATGTTTTCATTATGGTCCTGGCATGTTTTATTAGAAATCTCAGGGATAAGAACTAACAAAAGAAAAAAAAAAAGGATGAAATATTCAGAGCCCAATGTGGAACACATGTTGGGGAGGGGTGTAGGCCATGCTCCCCAAAGGGCAAATTTGGAAAATTAGAAGCTCTTTGGTGCGTACCCTTGTTGTTGTTATTTTTTCATATACTTGATAGATATGATTGGCCTTTAATTTTACAGTAAATTAGCCAAAGTTCGTTAATTAGTTGAGAATTATATGCACTTTTTGGTAGTTCTATAGTTCATAGTTTATTAAAAGGATAGTGAGAAACTATCAGTTCCAATACTTACTGCTTCCCACATTTTAACTGTTACCTGAAGGATAGTGAGAAACTATCAGTTCCAATACTTACTGCTTCCCACATTTTAACTGTTACCTGAAGGATAGTGAGAAACTATCAGTTCCAATACTTACTGCTTCCCACACTTTAACTGTTACCTGAAGGATAGTGAGAAACTATCAGTTCCAATACTTACTGCTGCTTCCCACATTTTAACTGTTACCTGAAGGATAGTGAGAAACTATCAGTTCCAATACTTACTGCTGCTTCCCACACTTTAACTGTTACCTGAAGGATAGTGAGAAACTATCAGTTCCAATACTTACTGCTTCCCACATTTTAACTGTTACCTGAAGGATAGTGAGAAACTATCAGTTCCAATACTTACTGCTTCCCTCTTAAATCTGGTAAACCTTATCTAGCCCAGCTAAATCTGGTAAACCTTATCTAGCCCAGCTAACTCTGGTAAACCTTATCTAGCCCAGCTAACTCTGGTAAACCTTATCCAACCCAGCTAAATCTAGTAAACCTTATCCAGCCCAGCTAAATCTGGTAAACCTTATCCAGCCAAGCTGAATCTAGTAAACCTTATTGTACTTCAACAATAAAACTACAGTGCTTAACACTACAACAATAAAACTCTAACAAACATATTTTTACACTGACACTGAAGAGTGCTGACTTGGGACAATGCCTGTTACAAGACGTTCTCTAAGAAATTAAACATAAGATTTTTACCAGAGATTATCAAACAATAAACCTTTAATTCTCTTCTCACAATGTAGTATTGACAACAAGAAAATATATATCAAAATAAAATCTTTGACTCTATAAATTATACACTATTTTACTTTATCTAAGATGTCATAATTTTAATACTTAACCATTAATTTAAAAAATATATCTTGGATTCACTTGTCCTACTTACATATTTACTACATTCATTTCTTTGATTGCAAAAAAAAAAACACATTACAAAATATGTATACCAAACAACCAGTGTTTACCTAGCATTTCTTGGAAATATGATCAACCAATCTTTCATTTAATAAATTTGACAATACAGTTTGACAGTTACAATATTTGCTGCTTCCCACATTTTAACTGTTACCTGAAGGATAGTGAGAAACTATCAGTTCCAATACTTACTGCTTCCCACATTTTAACTGTTACCTGTTTTGTATCAAGATAAATTATTACATAACAAAGTTTACCACAACTTCATGTTTATTATGTTACATGTAAAGCAGCCATAAAGCTTTCACAAATACACACTGATAATGGAGTTTTACGCTTGAAATAGTGTCAACAAATCATTGGTAAACTTCAGATTCAGTGAGGGTGTGGAAAAAAAAAATGGTTGTAATTTGGTTTCAAAGTTATATTTCACAGAGTGTCATTTCTTCCTACAAATCATGTATGAAAAAACTGGTCCAACAAAGAACCAACTTTACTTGCTGTTCAACAAAACTGTTTAAAATGCACAACATATTTTTTCACAGCTTCTAGGACTTTCCCGTATGTCACTGATGTTTACATTAATATTATGTACTAAACACTTGCAAGAGATACCATCAGAGCAAAACTGTACTCTTTTGATGTTTGAATTCCTCTATCATTAAACTATGATCTTAACACAGTACTGGACCACCATCTTGGCATGATTATTAGGCCACAACAATCTTAACAGAAGTATTAGACCTTAAATTTAGTAGAGGCATTAAGTCATCATATTAGCAGAAGTATTAGACCTTGAATTGGGCATTAGGACATCTTAGCAGAAGTATTAGACCTTAAATTAGTAGAGGCATTAAGTCATCATATTAGCAGAAGTATTAGACCTTGAATTTAGCAGGGGCATTAGGCCATCTTAGCAGAAGTATCAGACCTTGAATTTAGCAGGGGCATTAGGCCATCTTAGCAGAAGTATCAGACCTTGAATTTAGCAGGGGCATTAGGCCATCTTAGCAGAAGTATCAGACCTTGAATTTAGCAGGGGCATTAGGCCATCTTAGCAGAAGTATCAGACCTTGAATTTAGCAGGGCATTAGGTCATCTTAGCAGAAGTATCAGACCTTGAATTTAGCAGGAACAAATTTCATTCAAGATAAATAAATATGAATTTTACTAGTACCAAATTATTGAAGTAAATGTCTTCTCCTTTGCTTATGTACTTAATAATAACATATTACAGCAAACCTAAGATAAATATAATTCATGTTTCCTTAAAAACAGGTTATTTTACACTTTTAAATGGTGTCTGCTACAAGATATCACCTGTAAAGCAACATTATCACCAAACACACGTGCAGAACCAACTTCCAGTGGTACACATCTAAAAGCTACATTTACATTTTCCATGTACATGTAAATGTGTACAAACATTAAGAAAAAAAAAGGAAAAAATTATATATATATATGTGGTATTTCCATGATTATTAAAAAACAAACAGTGATTCTTTGCTTTAAACTTACCATTTAAGGACCATCTTTGTGATAGTAGTTCTTTGCTTTAAACTTACCGGTTATGTACCATCTTTGCTCCAGTTGTTCTTTCCTTTAAACTTACCGGTTATGTACCATCTTTGCTCCAGTTGTTCTTTCCTTTAAACTTACCGGTTATGTACCATCTTTGCTCCAGTTGTTCTTTCCTTTAAACTTACCGGTTATGTACCATCTTTGCTCCAGTTGTTCTTTCCCTTGAACTTACCAGTTATGTACCATCAGTTTCTGAACACACAAGAGAGCTTCGTAACGAACATTTGGATCTTCATGAGTCAGAAGCTGCATAACCAGGTGTTTTCCTCCCAGCTGTTCTATCACACTGTAATAAAGATTCATCTTACTGTGAGCCTTCATTACAATATAAACCATGACGTTACACTACACACATCGTCTTGTTACACATAACAACTTGGTTTGGTGCGACACAGTAAAGCACACAATTCCTTCTCATGAAAACTAATGTAATACTCCAGAAACATTCTGTCCCATTGCCACAGGATATAAAAAAAGCTGGTTAGCTCTAATGTCACTGTGTGATACCAAATCCCCTGGTATTATTATCACACTGTCTGCACTTTCTCACCAGGTGGCTACTGAACTACCACAACATAACTGACTACAATTTCCTCAGACATCTTAGTCATGCTTTTTACTTACTGCTTCACATAAACACAATGGAGAACAAAGCAATGATTAACCCAAAAACTTTTATATCTATGAAAAGAAATGAGCAGTGGACATTTGAAGTAGGGAGATATTGGTAGAAGATAAATATTCTTAAGATTGAAAAGCTCCACCTAAGCAAGTTAAAACTGATAAACCATTTCTAGTTGAGTTGAATCTAATAAATCACACCTAGCCCAATTAAAATGGATAAACTGTACCTAAACCAGTTGAAACTGATAAATTCCACCTAAGCCCAACACAGTTAAGAACTGATCATATAATCACATGTCGTCTCCATACAAGACTTGGTCTACATCATTAACAGTTGACAGAGTTTAATACAGAAAAAGCACTTTCACAGTTAAGAACTGATCATATAATCACATGTCGTCTCCATATAAGACTTGGTAAAGTGCTTTTTCTGTATTAAACTCTGTCAACTGTTAATGATGTAGCACAGTTAAGAACTGATCATATAATCACATGTCGTCTCCATACAAGACTTGGTAAAGTGCTTTTTC